TTTTTCCCGGGCCTTCACATCTCTAGTCACCATCAATAGTTCGACGAGTGGGTAGGCAGGGGCATCACCAAGGGCTTCCTGGTGACCGATGGTGGCTCAAACATTAGGGCAGCGGCAGAGCAACTGGGCCTGAAGCGCATTCCCTGTGCGGCCCACCCACCTCGTGGTTAAGGATGCTCTGGGGTTGGGTTCTGCCTGGCACATTGGCACAGGTTGTTGGGGAGGGAGACTGCTCTGGTTCTGCTGCTGGGCATGGCTGCCAATGCAAACATGCTCCCTATGTAGGCTGCTGCTGCTGCAGAGGGAGAGATTGTCTGGTTCTGCTGGTTTTGGAGTTTTTTGGGCACTGCCTGGCACATTGGCACAGGTTGTTGGGGAGGGAGACTGCTCTGGTTCTGCTGCTGGGCCTGGCTGGCATTGGCAATGCACAAACATGCTCCCTCAGTCTGTAGGCTGCTGCTGCAGTCTGCAGAGATTCTCTGGTTTGAACCAAGTTCTGTTGGTTTTGGGCACTGACTGGCAGCTGGCACCATGGCACAGGTTGTGGGGGGGCAGATTGCTCTGGTTCTGCTGCTGGGCCTGGCTGGCATTGGCAATGTACAAACAGGCTCCCTCAGTCTATGCTGCTGCTGCAGATTCTCTGGTTTGAACCAAGTTCTGTTGGTTTTGGGGGTTTGGGCACATTGGCACAGGGGGGCAGATCGCTATGGTTCTGCTGCAGTGCTGGCTGGGCCTGGCTGGCAATACAAACATGCTCCCCCAACAGGTTGCCTCCATCCCTCCGTTGTTCTCTCTATGGTGGGAAAAAAGTTACTTCCCCCCCCCCATAGAGAACAATGGAGGGCAACCTGTTTGGGCGCCCGTAGAATTGGACCCTTTGGTCCAATCTTTTTGACACTTGGTGGGTATCTTGGGGAGAGGTTCCAGCAGCCACCCTCCGAGATTGGAGCCTCTCCCTCAAACCCCCTCTTAGGGGTGTGCAAAAAAAAGAAGAAGGTAAAATTCGGATTCGGATTTATTGGATCCGAATTTTTTCGGGATTCCCGGAAAAACCCGAATATCTATACCGGTAAAGCCCCATATTGTGCCAAATGGCCCATAGGATATAATGGGGCCGAATTGCCGCCTAATTTCGGCGGCAAACTGGCAATAGGCAAACAAGGCAGCAAGCTGATCTGGGGGCACCCTCTTTGGATGCTCCTGGAATTGGACCCCCTGGACCAATCTTGTCAAAACTTTGGGTCATTTGGAGAGAGGTTGGAGCAGCCACGGTCCAAATTTGGAGCCTCTACCTCAAACCCCCTCCCCCCAGCCCCCTACAAACATTCCATAGGATTTTTGCCATTGACTTCAATCGCCCCGTTGGATATAATGGACCCGAATTTCCTGAAAATTTTCAGATATCTATGCTTTACCGGTATAGATATTTGGGTTTTTTCGGGTTTCCCCAAAAAATTCCGGTTCAATAAACCCGAATCCGAATTTTACCGTTCTTTTTTTTTTTCACACCTCTACACAGGACTCCAGGTGAGGCCTGACCAGTACAGAATAGAGCGGAACTACCACTTCCCATGATCTGGACACAATGCTTCTGTTAATGCATCCTAAGACTGCATTAGCTTTCTTCACAGCCACATCGCACTGCAGGCTCACGTTTAGGTTGTGATCAACCAGAACACCCAGATCCCTTTCACATGTGCTGCTGTCAAGCCAAGTCCCTCCCATTCTAGATCTGTGCCTTATGACTGACAGGTCCCATTACAGCCCCTACATAACCATGGTAATGGGATCATGCCTTGACCAGCATTACCTTCCCAAACTTTGCCTTTGAGCACCACCTCCCAGTGCGACCAATAGGCACACACTTGAGTATCCCAAGTTCAGCATCCCCCCCAGTAAAGTCCTTTTGTTCCTGAATCTTCCACTTTCCCTGGTCCTGTTGAAGCAGAAGCAAAGAAAACATGAGCTCTTCAGAAAGCTCCTGGAAAGTAGTTGTGGTGCTCTTCTGTGTAAATATTGTGTGTCTTTCTGTGATTAAATGTGGGTTTTTATATGTATGTTTGCTGAGGGGGGACAAGGAAGAAGAGGAGGAGCAGGAAGAAGAAGAGATTGGATTTACACCCCACCCTTCACTTGGAGTCTCAGAATGGCTTACAATCTCCTTTACCTTCCCCTCCCCACAACAGACACCCCGTGAGGTAGGTGGGGCTGAGAGAGCTCTGAGAAAACTGCTCATGAGAGAACAGCTCTGAGAGAACTTGCAACTGACCCAAGGTCACACCAGCAGCTCCATGTGGATGAGTGTGGAATCAAACCCAGTTCTGTGCTGGCCTCTAAGGTAAGAAAGAAGGGGGATGGATGGGTGATGGCTGCGAAAGAGAGGAGGAGGGAGTCGAGTGGGTGAAGAGACTGAGGAAAGTCCTGTAGAGAGTGAGAGAAACATGTGTTCTTTCCGGAAGTTATTATCCTGAGTGGCAAGTTAGGAATTTTAAGCTTTTGTGGTAGTTATGTAGCCTCAGTGGCAAGTGAGGAAAATAAGCTTTTGTGGCTAGGTTATTTTAGGAACTTTAGAGAAAGGAGAACTGTACTTATCTGAAACCATGACGCTTATGAACCATACTGAAACCACCATGACACCTATGGAGCATACTGAAACCACCATGCTTTTATACTTCTAAAGACATCATGTTTAAATGGAAACAGCTGTTTTATTTAGAGTAAAGGATCCCCTTTTACCTCTGAGCCACCCCCTTGTGCTGACCCTTCTGTCTTTCTACAAAATATAACTGAAGTCATTCTGTTCTTTGGGTTCAACTAAGAAGTCTAAGGCAAGAGCCTTTGGTGGCAGCGAAAAAAGGTAGGAAACACTAAAGAAGGCAAGGAGTCAGCATAACACATATCACCTCTGAACACTACAGAAAAGTGTCATTACAGGTGCTACAAAAAAGGTGTCTTAGAAAGGGACAAGTTCCACTAGTTAATAAATGCAACTTTCCTTTGAACTGTTTGGGGCGGGGGGGGAGAGAAATAAAGGCATCTGCTAGAGAAATAAAGGCATCTGCTTTAGCGTTTGACCCATTTCCACGCCGTTTGCAAATCCCCACACTTAGAAATGAAGCAGCTCAGCAGTCCATGGGCACATGAAGCACAGCACTCGGTGGAAAAACTCGCACTCGAGACAAATCCACATATTTTGATTTTATACACCACACTCCTGAACATCAAATGGAAAAAAAGTTACAGTTCAATGAACAGGTTGGTTGCAGTTTCAGAACATCTCTCTTTCTCACTCTCTCTCTCTTTTTTAGAAAAAGACAAAACGAATATCCAGTTCAAAGACGGCGACAAACAGCAAATCCTGTTGCAGGCAGCTTTTACAAAGATCAAGGTACCATTGGAGAAAGGCACGTTAACCTCTGATTGGTCCTGTGTGTTATTTGGATGGAAAAAAACATCGTCGTAGTAGTGGTGTGTAACCCTGAGACTGCGGGAGGCTATTAGCAAGACTAAAGCCGGATGCACGGGCAGGTTGTTTTAAAAGTACAAGTTTAAAGAGGCATTAAGATTCAGCACCCAGGTAGAAAGAGAGACACCCTGTTACCGAAGGAATAAACCTTTCTGTAGAGGAAACACTCAGCTTTTCAGCCCATTCCTCCGGACTGCTTCCCTGTCTGGAAAACGTAAAACTATTTCGCTCGTTACAGTTTTAAGGTGGACACGTGAAAAGTGACAGGGGTACTCTTTAAAACGAGAATGCCTGAAGCACATTCCCAACTGGGGGGTCCGTACAGGGACGTTCCCCGTCACTTGATTATTTCGTCAGTTGGCAGAAAAGAGGGTCGGGGTCCCCCCCCCATGCATTTCACTAACGGCAGCCCTTTCCTCCGGCACAACGACCCTTCAGCCGATGCAAGGCAGTCGACTGCTCCGGGATGGTTGCTCCGTCCGCGGATGGTTGAGCAAAGCCTTGTGGCGGCCTTCACAACTCTGGGGACAGGGGAGGATTCTCATTGGCTCACAACTGTACCGACAATCTGGCCCACTAGCTCTGCTTTGGCTGCACATACAGTGATCCCCCCCTCCACCCCCCAGTTCCCCATACACGTCCCTCCCTGTGCCTTTTGGTACCCCCTCTCTCCCACACACACAGGGCATTCTCAGGAGAGACTTATTCCGTGGTGGAGCCGGCCTGTACCCCTCTTCCAGCAGACGCATGGAGGAAGGGGCAGGGAAAAAGAAGGCAGATGGGAGGGAAGGTCCAAACGGAAAGGCGAGACCGGCCTCGCCTACAGAAGAGATCGTATCGAGCCACAGTGACGCAGCACAGAGCATAATTAAACTTGTACTTTTAAAAGATGGAGCGGAGCGGGATGCGGGCCGGGCACTGCGGACGAAGCGGTGTCATCTCGTTATATAAATATTTTTAATTTTCTCTCCCCCCCCCTCCTTTTGATTACAAGTTGATTTTGAAATCCAGGCCATGTGATTGACAAAGTACCTGCACGTACGTACATAATCACCTGTGCACGCGCACACATACACACGCACACGCACACTCACACACACAGCCCCCGGGCTTTCACAGAAAGCTTGGCAGCAGCCGATCTGATGGAGGATTCCTACCTCACAGAGAAGTAAGGGGAAGGGGGACGGGGGGGGGGACAGGACGCGTCTGGGTGGTTGGCCGGACCTCGGGGCGAAGACTCGGGCCGTTGGCAGAGTAGGCAATTAAGGGGTAGGGGGGTGGCGGCGGTCAAAACCCGTCGTATAAAGATCAAAGGAGATTCAACAAAAATTAAAAACTTGTTCAAAAATATACAAAATTTGGGGGGAGACCCAGCAGAAGACAACGCTCCCCCTTGTGGCGGCGCCCCCCTCCCCAAAGAAAAAGACAGATAAGTTATCCCCAAGTTGCATCAAAACCAGAAGAGAACAATGTCGTCACACAATTCCTTTGTTTTTGTTTTTTAGGGGGGGGGAAAAAAAAAATTGGGGGGTTGGGGGGGGGGGGGGTGTCGGGGGGGGGAAAAAATCGCACTAGAGATCCTGGTTTAGAAACAGAGTTATTAGCTCCAGAGACCGGCATAATTCCCATGGAGTCCAGACGGAAGTGGGCCTCCCGCCACAAAGAGCTTCGTGCCAGACGAGTCGTAGCAGTGGGTGTAAACAGCATTTGGGAAGAAGCTGATGTCGGAGAAGTAATTCCGCCAGGTTTCGTCATGATTCTGTTGAAGGAAAGCTCATGTAAGTTGCAGCCTGCACCGTTCTCAGACAGGACTTGCCTGTGTAGGCAAGGCGGGATATACATTGAAATCAATCAATCAATCAATCAATCAATCAATCAATCAAGGAAGGAAGGAAGGAAGGAAGGAAGGAAGGAAGGAAGGAAGGAAGGAAGGAAGACTTATCCTGTGACTGGTCTCCTTTATGTGTTCTTAGGTCCACAAATCTCCACTTGGCCCACATATCTCTCTTGCCTCCACCAAAAGTGCAGAAAACTCCCCGACGTTTTAAGGAGTGGGGCACCCCAACAGCAACATTAATGTAGAGGCCCTCCCAGCTGTCCCACCAATCAAAGAGGCTGGTCTGATAGGTTCACCCGACAGGGCCTTTTGAGCGGTAGCCCCACGATTCTGAAACGACCGAGGTGTGCCCGGCCCCCCTCACTTTGAATCTTCAGGCGGCACGGGGAAGATCGTTTTATTTAGGACTACATTTGACTAATTTTTATTTATGGGCCGTCCTAATTGAGGTTTTAAACTGTTATCTTCCATGTGTTTTATAACCGTTTAATTGATACTGTTCAGTTCTGCAAGGCAGAAAGGTGGCTAATAAATAAATTGTGGCAGGAAAAATCAGCGCGTTTGGGGAAATGTCTGTATAACAGCCTGGATTGGCTGAGGCCTCTCTGTTTGGCTCCTCTCCCATGAGGCTTTGCAGGCTTAGCTGCTGTCATCTCTCAAGCCTCTCTCTAGCCTGACAAGGCACTCTGCTTTCAGTAAGGTCACGATAAAGTATAAACACTGAGTTTGTCTACTGAAGGCTCTTAGATTCTTAGGATGAACTTCGATACGATATTTCTGACTCTTATTTTGACACATAACATCTTTGACTGTCTAGGGTAACTAGGGTATGAGTTCAGGGTGAAAGCTGTTCTCTTTAGTTTGATATCCTTCTGGTAAAAGTCTGTTAACCTTACGTCATCCATGTGGGCTGAACCCTATGGGTATTGAGAGTATAAATGGTTGAAGACATCTTTGCTCTGGGCTAGTCACCAATCAGCTCTCGGTGGGCTCTTGCTGACTAGACCGGGGCACTCTAGTGTTTCATGCTAGTGCACTATGATTGTGTCAAAGTATTTTCTGCTGCAACACAAATATAGTATTCTCTGCTGAGGAGGCTGCAGTGGCTTAGAGGTTAAGACGCTGAACTGCAGACTGGAAGGTCGTTCAGCAGTTCGAGGCCCTAGTGCCTTGGGACGGAGTGAGCTCCCATCTCCGGCCCCAGCTCCTGCCAACCTAGCAATTCGGAAGCAAGAAATTGCAAGTAGATAAATAGGTACCGCTCCGGTGGGAAGGCAACAGAGTTCCGTGCATGCCGGCCACATGTCCACAGAGAAGTGTCCGGACAGTGCTGGCTCTTCGGCTTGAAAACGGAGATGAGCACCGCCCCCTAGAGTCGGATTAGACTGGCTTTCGAGCAAGGGAAACCTTTACTTTTAACTATTCTCTGCTGAATATGGAAACGTTGTGTTTTTATCCTAAAAGATTTGTAAGTGCTAAAGTGCTTTCTGTCCATAAGAAGCTTATATTGTAATAAACTGGTTTTGTTTAAGAACTGTGGTCTTTCTCTCTATGGATTCAGTCCCTGGCCCATCTCCACCCACCAATAAAAGAACTAAAGGGGAATGGGGAGGGTTCCAGGGAAATAGTCTTGGGGTCCCAGGATCCCGCAATATAAATAAATGAATGAATACACCAAACGCTTTGGATTTAGTTTAGGAAGTTCTTATGCTGCCTGTAATGATTCCTTGTTTTATGAGTGTGTGTGTGCCTTTAAATGCTTGGTTGGAGTGCATGGTTAGTAAACTAGAGTGATTGAGAGAGACAGATGTGCTGTGATTGATGGACGACAGAGTGTGGGAGGGGTTTCTGAAGTGAATCTGTGTGGGTGTGTCAGTGGGTCAATTATGAGAGACAGTTGGAAATCAGTTGGAAGTGATCAGTCAGAGAGTTAAGTCAGTGAGTGTTCAGTTAGTTCTGAGTGAGTTCTTAAAAAGTGCAATATATATGTCAGCCTGTGTGGCTGACATTTGGAAAGCGTGACTCCTGTTAAAGTTGGAACTGAGTGTCAAAACAAACAAAAAGTAAAGGGGAAAAAAGACAGTGCGTGTGATACATTTGACAGACATATTTTCAAGTCCCTTTATCCAATATAGTTACAAAATAACCAACCTCATATTTTGTTCTTACTTCAAAAAACCATCTCTTGTTCAAGTTTATCCCCGGATTTACTTCTATCTTTCCTCAGGACCACATAGATCCCTGAAAAGCCCCAACTCTAGGTCACCTCACCAGCAAAAGAAACAGAGAGAAGGTTTGGAAATCCTTAAATTCCTGGTGGCAGCAGAAACTACCCGGTTTACAAGAGCATAGAGCACATTTAAAGAGAAAACCAGTCCTCCCTAATAAGAGGCCGCACTGCCCCTCTAGAGAACCCGCCTGAAGAGACTTTGGATCCAAGGCCCCAGCCCAACAGAAACTCTATGACCGATTCCCCACAAGCAGCAGTGCCACCTTCACTCTTCCGTTTCCCACGGTCGTATTGGTCAATTTCACACTATTGGCCGTGCGGCCGCATTTTGACCCACATTTCTCCACGATTTCCTCCATGTCTTCTCAATTCTGTTTTTTGAGGGTCAAGAAGATACGGAAGAAATCGGGGGGAGATGCGGGTCAAAATGCAGCTGTGCAGCGAATAGTCTGAAATTGACCGATATGACCGGGGGACGGGGACGGGGGACGGAAGAGCAACGGCGGCACAGCTGCCCATGGGGAATCGGTATATGACAGCCAACCCCATCTTTTGAAAGGCCTGGGAGAAAGCGAGACAGTTTCAGAGGGTGGCTAAGCCAGTCTACAGAGGAGCCGCTAGTTCTGAGTCCAGCGGCACCTTAGAGACCAATAAGCTTCCCCTGCCTTTGACTCCCCTACCGGCCATGGAAGGAGGAAAAAGGAGAGCTTCTGATATTCCCATCATATAGCGTATCACCAGGAACACGTTGTTCGGCCTTTTAGCGTTAACCAGGACCAGACTCCTAGCAGGGGGGATGTCTGGGGCGGGCACACCCCCTCCCCACCCCGCCGAACGCTACAAGCCACTCACCAGCCAGCCTTTGCCAGTGGACAGCTTGAGGATTTCGTTTCCTCCCATATTCGGTCCGCAGCAGCTGTGCGGCGGCTTCTCGTCCAGGAACCTTTGGGCTCGGATGTCGTAGAACAGCAGCGACCCCTGCCCTGTCCCCACCGTGATGATGTGTTCGTAGAAGCTCACGGACCGAATCCCTGCCGTGGAAGAGGGAGAGGGGGAATGTCACTGCGGTCAGTTAAGCAGGGGACAGACGGGTACCCGCAGCTTTTCTAGGCTTTCCTAAAATCGGCTCTACTTTGGCTGATGTCGGCCGCCAAGGAGATGGTCTCAGGGTATCGGTCTGCAGCGGGAGAGCTCGAGGCGGAGCGTCAAACATCGCAGACTGGCAGAGAACACACATCTGACAAAGACAGCTTTGGCTTAAAAAAAAAACAACCCAGACTGCTAGGAGTGGAACCTCCATGTACAGAGGCAGTGTTATCTCCAACCGCTATAGAAGAAGAAGAGATTGGATTTATACCCCGCCCTTCACTACCCAGAGGAGTCTCAGAGTGGCTCACAAACTCCTTTCCCTTCCCCTCCCCACAACAGACACCCTGTGAGGGAGGTGGAGCTGAGAGAGCTCTTGACAGAAACTGCTCTTTTTCAAGAACAGCCCTTATCAGAACTATGGCTTGCCCAAGGTCATCCAGCAGCTGCGAGTGGAGGAGTGGGGAAGCAAACCCGGTTCTCCCAGATTAGAGTCCGCGCACTTAACCACGACACCAAACTGGATCTCTATAGGAAGGATAGACATCGTAGCGAGTAGCTGTTGAAGCAAAAAAGCTGCAAAACACAAGGGCTGTGTTCTATGGCTTCTTGGTCAAACAGTGTAATTATTCATCACCGCAAGCAGGCCCGTAGCCACGGTAGGGCATTTGGGGGCAGAGTCCTGCCGTGAACGAGCCCTGCCCCCCGGAGGATGCCAAGCCCCCCAGATCCCCCCTGTAGGGGTGGGGGAGGCTGGGGAAGGAAAGGGAAGCCGCCCTGCCACTTCTGGTCAGTTTCACTCCCAGCCTTCCAGCTGTTAGGTTTAACAGCTGATGGGAGGGGGAGTGAAACTGACCAGAAGTGGCAGGGCAGCTTCCCTGCTGCTACCCCCCCACACACGCTGTTGAGTAATCTAATTAAGTTATGGGTTCCCCTGCCCGAGCGCACGGGCCCCTGCCCCGCCAGCCAAAAATTTCTGAAATTAGAAGAAGAGTTGGATTTATACCCTGCCCTTCACTCGGAGTTTCAGAGCGGCTTACGATCCCTCCCCACAACAGACACCCTGTGAGGTAGGCGGGGCTGAGAGAGCTCTTTCGAGGACTGCTCTTGATAGAACAGCTCTGACAGAACTTGTGACTGACCCAAGGTCACCCCAGCAGCTGCTTGCGGAGGAGTGGGGAATCAAGCCCCGGTTCTCCCAGATCAGAGTCCGCCCTCCTAACCACTACACCAAACTGGCTCTCGAGTTTTGACTCTCGAAGGTGTTTTGACTCTCCTGATGGCCCCTGGTATGTTTGGCCACTGTGTGACAGAGCGTTGGACTGGATGGGCCATTGGACTGATCCAACATTGGCTTCTCTTACGTTCTTATGTTCTTATGAAGGCTTCTATCCCCCAAATTCTGTTTGTCTTGAAGGTGCTTACTGGACTTGAATTGAGCTGTTCTACTGGAGACCAACGCAGCTGCCCTATGAAGCTATAAGCACCAAACCAGAAGCACAGACTGTGCCCAAGTTAATGGGAAAACACCTCTTGTAAGCGTCTTCCCTTGGAACTATTTTAAGTGCCCGCTTCGAGCCAGGGAGCCGGCTGGTGCAACCTGAGAACATGACAAATTGCATTTTGATGCTCCGTGAAGGTAAAACACATAAGCTTCCCCCCCCCCCGGCCCCCAAACATGGGCAGAGTAGCAGCTAAGCACCAAGCGGTTTAAGGCTCAGCGGATCCACGCCCGTTCCACAACTTCACAGATTTATTTTCGTGTCCTAACCAACACGGGAAACAGATGGTAAGTCAGCCACATTATAATCCCGAAAAAGAATCAGGAAGAAAGCAGGCAGGGCTCTGACAGAAACTGCTCTTTTCAAGGACAGCTCTTATCAGAACTACGGCTTGCCCATGGTCATCCAGCAGCTGCAAGTGGAGGAGTGGGGAATCAAACCCGGTTCTCCCAGATTAGAGGCCGCGCACTTAACCACTACACCAACAGCACAAGGAGAGCCAGCTAGAGTCTAAAAAGGTAAAGGTTCCCTTGCTCGAAAGCCATTCAAATCCGACTCTAGGGTTGCGGTGCTCATCTCCGTTTCAAAGCCGAAGAGCCAGCGCTGTCTGAAGACGTTTCCATGGTCATGTGGCCGGCATGACTAAACACCAAGGCGCGCGGAACGCTGTTACCTTCCCACCGAAGTGGTACCTATTAATCTACTTGCAATTTCTTGCTTTCGAACTGCTAGGTTAGAACTGCTAGAGCTAGAGTCTAGCAGCACCTTAAAAGACTCACAAAATATGTGGTAAGGTAGGAACTTTTGTGAGTTACTGTTCACTTCTTCAGATACAGCTAAAATGGGAGTCCACCTGTCCTATATATTGGGAAATGGAGTGATTTCAGATGCCAGATGACATTAGCAGACAATAATAGGTGTGATTGGATTACGAGCAGAAAAGAGCAAGCATCCAGCAGCACCTTAAAGACTAGCAAAATAAGAGGCATCTCTCTGAAGAAGTGAGCCGTGACTCACAAAAGCTCCTGCCCTGCCCCACCCCATATTCTGTTAGTCTTGACAGTGCTCCTGGACTCTTGCTCTTTTCTACTGCTACAGACAGACTAACACAGCGACCCATCTTGATCGATCTCCATGGATTAGGTGTGATGTGCAGGAGCGTTGGTAATAAGACAGGAAACCTAAGTCTCAATTCGGTTCAGGGGGTGCATTGTGTTTGTTATTAGCTGCAATTCAGCAGTCTCTCCTTCTAACCTCCCCTCTGTTGCTGACCTCAAAGTGGAAGTTTTCTTCCAAAGGAATTTCAAAGGAAGGTTCCAGCTGTATCTGAAGAAGTGAGCAGGGACTCACAAAAGCTCCTACCTGGCCACGAATTTTGTTTGTTATTAAGGTGCTCTGGGACTCTGGCTCTTTTCTACTGGAGGTAAGGTGCAGCAGCTATTTTCTATCTGGCTTCTCCTCCTCCATCCACCACCCTATGTCAGAATTCCAAAGGTGCCTACAGGCTTAAAAGGGTTGAGGATCCCTGGACTGTACTAGGTAAAGGTTTCCCTTGCTTGAAAGCCAGTCGAATCTAACTCTAGGAGGACGGTGCTCATCTCCGTTTCCAAGCCCAAGAGCCAGCGCTGTCCGAAGACGTTTCCGTGGTCACGTGGCCGGCATGACTAGATGTCGAGGTGCACGGAAGGCTGTTTCCTTCCCACCAAAGTGGTGCCTATTTATCTGCTTGCAATTTCTTGCTTTCAAACTGCTAGGGTGGCAGGAGCTGGGACCAGAGACGGGAGCTCACTCCGTCATGCGGCACACTCGGTTCTCGAACTGCTGAACTACAGACCTTCCAGTCTACAGTTCAGTTTTATCAAGTTTGTCAGGGATCGGAAGGGGTCTACCGCAGAGGGCATGAAACAGTGTGGAGAGTAAGAGGATAACTCAGAACATTTTTAAAAAATGTAATAGAAAAAGTAGACAAGAACAGGATGAACCGTGGAGAGTTCATGGGTCTACACTTCTGCAAAAATCACCACAGGAGCGATTATTGCTTAGGTAATGACCAAGCGCCAAAGAACAGGGCACGAAAGAAAGGCCCACGCAGAGTCAGGGAGAAAAAACGCAGAGGCAGGGAGAAAACGACGAACAGAAGAGAGCTGCACAGAGCTGGCGCGATAAAAACGCAGTCTCCACATTGTGTTGCGTTGATAAGGGAATTAAAAGCCACACGCCATGCACTCTTCTGGTGCTGACCTGGCACACCAGTAATCTCTGCCGCAACACATGTCCCTACTCCCCACTCACTTGTAATGTAGGGAAGGGCTGCCATCGACTGCCTACGGGGGCACACGGCACAATCTCCACTCCCGTAGGTCACCAAGAGCACACTACGCCAGCTGCCCCGCAGACGATAAAGAGGGTTCAGTCACTGACTGGTTGCAGATATTCAAGGTCACTTTTAACCATGAGTGTGGACCAATGCTCCAGCTGAGCTGTGGAGTCTTGTGAGCAAAAATTCTACTTTGTGAGCTACTGGGCATTACGGTTGTGAGCGAACGATTTGGCTCCTGCGTGACTCAGTTTGCTCTGGAGCCATCCTGCCTGAGCTGAGACAAAAAGGTGTGGGCCGGAGGCTAAAAAACTGTGAGCTGGCTCACGCTAACTCGGCTTAGATGGAACACTGCGGACGTGAGGAGGTGTGATTAACACGTGGAATTCACTGCCACAGGAAGTGGTGGCAGCTACAAGCATGGGCGGCTTCAAAAGGGAATTGGATAAGCATATGGAGCAGAGGTCCATCAGTGGCTATTAGCCACAAGGTAAAGATAGGGGCTCTGGGGCAAGTGATGCTCTGTCTTCTTGGTGCTTGGGGGGGGGGGTCAACAGTGGGAGAACTTCTAATGTCCTGGCCCCACTGGTGGACCTCCTGATGGCCCCTGGTATTTTTGGCCACTGTGTGATACAGAGTGTTGGACTGGATGGGTCATTGGCCTGATCCAACATTGGCGTCTCTTATGTTCTTATGCCTTCGGAGAGACTTTACTTGTGCAGGACGTCTGGTAGACAGTTCTTCAATCACCCACAGAGGTGTCCCAGAACGTCTAGTGAATTCTGCTGCTTTGAACTTACCTTGTCAATGCTTCCAATATTTATTTATTTAAGACACTTTCACGCCGCCTTCTCACCCAGTCAAGGCAAAGAAGAGGAGTTTGGATTTATATCCCGCTCTTCACTAGCCAAAGGAGTCTCAGAGTGGCTTACCATCTCCTTTCCCTTCCCCTCCCCACAACAGATGCCCTGTGAGGTAGGTGGGGCTGAGAGAGCTCCCCCAAGGACTGCTCTTGAGAGAACAGCTCTGAGAGAACTTGAGACTGACCCAAGGTCACCCAGCTGGCTGCATGTGGAAGAGTGGGGAATCAAACCCGGTTCTCCCAGAATAGAATCCACACTCTTAACCACTGGCTCTCGACATTAAACCATTAAACATTAAACCTTTCAAACAATTAAAAATATTTAAAATTACAAAGTAATTCAGCGAGAGCATAAACAACCACAGGACCAGTGTTCCCTCTGAGCTGAGTAAGTGTGAGCTAGCTCACAGTTTTTTCACCTCTGGCTCGCACATTTTTGTCTCAGCTCAGGAGGGATGGCTCCAGAGCAAACTAATTTATGCAGTAGCTAAATTGCTCGCTCACAACTTTAATTTCAGTGGCTCACAAAGTAGAATTTTTGCTCACAAGACCCCACAGCTTAGAGGGCGCATTGCGCAGGACAAGGGAGAAGGGCCCAATAACTGTTATTGGGGGTATACCAAATGAAACAAAAGAAGTATTTACACTGATGGAGGGAGACAGAACGAAGGGGGGGGGGGGGGGGTCTAACGCTTCAGTGCCACAACCAAGAAGCCAGTTTGGTGTAGTGGTTAAGTGCGCGACTCTAATCTGGGAGAACCGGGTTTGATTCCCCACTCCTCCACTTGCACCTGCTGGATGACCTTGGGCAAGCCGTAGTTCTGGCACAGCTGTCCTTGAAAAAAGAGCAGTTTCTGTCAGAGCTCTCTCAGCCCGACCTGCCTCACAGGGTGTCTTGTTGTGGGGAGGGGGAGGAAAAGGCGTTTGTAAGACACTCTGAGACTCTCTTGGGTAGTGAAGGGCGGGGTATAAATCCAATCTCTTCTTCTTCTTCCTCTTTTAAGGGTCACCACCCATCTAGCCTTAGATGGCGGGATCAACCAAAGCCGGGCCTCCCAAAATTACAGGAATGAATGGGGAGGTTTATAAGGGAGAAGATACTCCTCAAGGCATGTTTGACTCACCATGTCCTAGTTCAGGGCCCCCCTCAATCTTTTGAAGCCTGTGGTCACCTTTGGAATTCTGACCCTGTGTGGTGAGCACAGCCACAAAATGGCAGCCACAAGATTGCTGCCGCAGGAGGAAGGGCCAACCACAAAATGGCTGCCGTAAGGTACCTTTGGTCACGCAGTCCTTGCGCTGCGGTGGCAGCTGCTGCCAAAGCAATAGTTTTAAGAAAATCGGCGCAGCCAATCAAATCTCCAATGGCCGATCAAAAGCCTTCTTGGGCAAACACCCAGGTGCCACGGTGCCCCCAGGAATGACGCTGGGCACTCCTGTCCAAATGTAAGCAAATCTCCATTTTTTCCCCAGGTGGCCATTTAGAGGAGGAGGAGGCGGCAGAGACTGGATTTATACCCCACCCTTCACTCAGTCTCAGAGCAGTTTACAATCTCCTTTCTCTTCCCCTCCCCACAACAGAAACCCAGTGAGTTAGGTGGGGCTGAGAGAGCTCTCTTGAGGACTGCCCTTGAGAGAACAGCTCTGAAAGAACTTGTGACTGACCTAAGGTCACACCACCAGCTGCATGTGGAGGAGTGGGGAATCAAGCCCGGCTCTCCCAGATTAGAGTCCGCGCTCTTAACCATGACACCAAACTTACACCTGCATGTCCCCCCTTCCTCACGATAAGGGGAAAAACGATGTGCATTTTACATTCAAATATGAACGTCCCCAATAATCCTCCAAATTAGCATCCATGATGACTTAAGACACAGGATGTTCCCTCTAACGTGTGGAGTCTTGTGAGCAAAAATTGTACTTGTGAGCTACTGGCATTAAAGTTGTGAGTGGGAGATTTAGCTACTGCATAAATTAGTTTGCTCTGGAGCCCTCCTTCCTGAGCTGAGACAAAAATGTGTGAGCCGGAGGCTAACAACCTGTGAGCTAGCTCACACTAACTCAGCTTAGAGGGAACACTGCACAGGACTCAAGACAACGGAGGGGGGAGGCGTCGCGGCCTCCGCATTCTAAAAAGGTAAAGAGCCCTTACCGCTGCCTCGCTCCCTGGAACAGACCGACTTGACATTGTGGGAAGGCTGCCGGGGGTCCAGGAACGACACGTGTGCCTGGGACCCCACCGCGTACACGGACCACTCCTGCCCATAGGCCAGGCACACGTTTTCTCGGCAGTAGGGTAATTTTGTCGAGAGCAACTGAAAGGAACGAAAAAGGCAATTCTTATGAGATTTAGTCGAAAGAACCATGATTACAGAGCTGAAGTCTCATGCAAGGACTATTAAATATTTAAAAACCTGAATGCATCCTCAAGGAAAGAAGAAGAAGAGGAGATTGGATTTCTACCCTGCCCTTCACTACCCAAGGGAGTCTCAGAGCGGCTTACAAACTCCTTCCCCTTCCCCTCCCCACGACAGGCACCCTGTGAGGTGGGTGGAGCTGAGAGAGCTCTGACAGAAACTGCTCTTTTTCAAGGACAGCTGTGCCAGAGCTTGTGACTGACCCAAGGTCACATCAGCAGGTGCAAGTGGAGGAGTGGGGACTCAAACCCGGTTCTCCCAGATTAGAGTCCGTACACTTAACCACTACACCCAACTGGCTCTCACCTTGGCCTATGAAAAGAGGAAGAGGAGGAGAAGATTGAATTTATAACCCGCCTTTCACTACCTGAAGGAGTCTCAGAATGGCTTACAATCTCCTTTCCCTTCCCCTCCCCACGACAGACACCCTGTGAGGTAGGCGGGGCCGAGAGAGCTCTTTCGAGGACTGCCCTTGAGAGAACAGCGCTTGTGACTGACCCAAGGTCACATCAGCAGGTGCAAGTGGAGGAGTGGGGACTCAAACCCGGTTCTCCCGGATGAGAGTCCGCGCTCCTAACCACTACACAAAACTGGCTCTCGAGAAGGGTTTGTGGATGAAAGCAGAGATGGATATCATTTCTCCAAGTGTCAAACACATTTATTTATTTATTTACTTATACCCCCTCCTTTCACCCCAATGAGGACCCAAAGCGAATTACATGCCAGACTAGATGGACCACTAGTCTGATCCAGCAGGGCTCTTCTTGTGTTCTTATAACAATTACATCTGGTCCAGCAACAGAACCAAATGACAGACAGCCACCTCTTGATACCACCTCGCCTCCCCTGCTTCTTCATGCCAACTGCACAATGCCAGTCAGCAGGGGTCATTTCCTGCAGAAGCGCGCAGGAAAGTAAAGAGCCCAGGGGGCGGGCACATGCAACAAGCCCCACCCCCTGCTCCCAGCAGCCCTCAGTCAGAGCAAGAAGCAGCCAGGTACGCTGCAGAACCCCCCCCCCACGGCCCCCTGGCCCAAAACAGTCCAGTGGCACCTTTAAGACCAAGTTTTATTCAGGTACAAGCTCTCCCTCCTCTGTGAGGACAGATATACACCTTCCTCCCCCTCCCCCAATAGCTAGCAATCCAAAACAGTCCAGTGGAGCCTGAGCGGTGGGTGTTGCCTCCTGACACACTTCCGGCGATGTCGGGGTGTGTGTGGCATCTGCAAATAGGTTATGCTAATGAGCTCCTGCACCTCTTTTTCTACGAAATGACCCCTGCTCAGAGGTATAACACAGAAAGACGGAGTACTCTCTGTGTCAAGGTGAGAAGAAGAAAAACGGCAGGCAGGTAATTTATATCTACTCAGGAAGGTGGGGGTATGGCTGAGTCATTATCTTGTAGGAGCTCCCCAGGCTGTGAACACCAGGTTTTTAATACTAGCCCTTTATCAGGCTTCTTTCTCACGCTTGCGCTTCTTGATTCCAGGTATCGGGCCAAGTTTGTTTCCCCCTCCCTGTGCCTATGATCCGGGAAACTCTGGTCTGAATCCCGTCTCTGCCGTGGAAGCTGGCTGGGTGACCTTGGGCCAGTCACACGCTCTCAGCCTAGCCTACCTCGCAAGGTTGTTGCTATGATGGCCACACGTCGGGACCACTGCAGGCCTGCCAGCTCCCCTCCAGAAGATGCACGAGTTGGGCACACGTTTTATCACTCCTCCACCCCACCCCACCCCGTGTGTCGGCTTGCATGTGTACCACCTGCTGCTATCGAGCCTGCTCACAAGATCCGGGAGGACGGGCACATGCGGGCATACATACGGAAGTCACCTTTGACAGCGTGTATTCAGCTTTCCAGAGATGGAAGTACCCATCCAGGGACACGGCTCCCAGCTCCTGGAAGAGGAAAAGAGAGCTCATCAGCCACGGTGTTGTACATGCCTTTAGGGTGCTGCACAGCGTCTCGTCGTTACAGTGATGGCCGTCGCCATCTTTGTTGTACATATTAGATTCCCTGTCAAAAATGAAGTCAAACGAGGAGGGAGATCTATGTTTCATGTCAATTAGCAGCAAAACAATTGGACCCAACAGTCCATCCAGAAACGACTACTTTCTTCTCAGCATATTCAGGAAATATGCTTCAATTAACAGGAAAACGATTAGACCAAATAACTCATCAAGAATTGACAGCTTTCTTCCTTTTCTTCTTCATCTTCTTCTTGAGCCTATTCTGAACATATTCAGGAAATACACGATATTTCATACATGGACTGACATCACCAAGAAAACAATGTTCAAACAGCATAATTGGTTACAAAAGACAGTGGTGATTTGAGTAATAATCCTCTGATTGGCCAGATATAAAGAAACATATATCTACGTCAAACTAAGTGTTTACTTAACCTAACCTAAATGATAATGGGCAAGGATTCTTCCTATCAGACTAAAATCTTATCTGACCCAGACATTGAAAGGTTTGCCCTAAGAACTACAGAATCATGAACTTTGTACCTATTATGTTCTCTGCTAACAATATCAGACCTACAAGAGGAAAGCCTTCTATATAACAGGCCTTTCTAACATCCTAATAAAATATTACTTAAAGAATAAATCTATAAAAACCAGAGAAATATGAATATGAACAATCAAGAAGAAAAAAACCTATATATATATATAAAAAATCTTTATATTCCCATCCATACTACAACGGGACATTCTCTAACGTACGGTCACGTAAAACACCAAATCAGCTCTGAAGAAGCCACTTGCTCTACTGTGGCTTAGTGGCCGGTAAACCACTCTGTATCACGGGTCTGGGGCTCAGTCCTCCTCTGCAACACAGGGACAGGAAGACTGGCTTAATTCACAGAATCCTTAGCCGCACTGAGATTATCTATGAAGAAGTAGAAGAAGAGGTTGGATTTATACCCTGCCCTTCACTTGGCGTCTCAGAGCGGCTTACGATCCCCTCCCCTCCCCACAACAGACACCCAGTGAGGTAGGCGGGACTGAGAGAGCTCTTTCAAGAACCGTCCTTGAGAGAACAGCTCTGAGAGAACTTGTGACTGACCCAAGGTCACACCAGCAGCTGCAAGTGGAGGAGTGGGGAATCACACCTGGGTCTCCCAGATTAGAGTCCATGCTCCTAACCACTACACCAAAGTAGCTCTGTTTTTAAGAGTGCTGAAACATTATTTCCGCCAGACTCCTCCAAACCATTAAAAACGAAAAAGGTGGTACTGGAAGGAACAAGGGATTAAAAGCAGGGGCGCACCACAAGGGGGCCTTCCACGCATCTCCGAATGCTTTTCAAGTGCAGTAGCACCTCACAGACCAACAAGGTTTTTGGGGAACAGGCTTTCAATAGTAAACGCTCACTTCATCAGTTAAGAACATAAGAACATAAGAGATGCCAATGTTGGATCAGACCAAAGGCCCATCCAGTCCAACACTCTGTATCACACAGTGGCCAGAAATACCAGGTGCCATCAGGAGGTCCAGCAGTGGGGCCAGGACATTAGAAGCCCTCCCACTGTTGACCCCCCCCCCCAAGAACCAAGAATACAGAGCATCCCTTGCCCCAGAGTCCCTATCTATACCTTGTGGCTAATAGCCACTGATGGACCTCTGCTCCATATCTAATTCCCTTTTGAAGCCGTCCATGCTTGTAGCCGCCACCAACTCCTGTGGCAGTGAGTTCCATGTGTTCATCACTCTTTGGGTGAAGAAGGACTTCCTTTGATCTGTTCTAACCCGACCGCTCAGCAGTTTCATGGAGTGCCCACAAGGAGTTCTTGTATTGTGAGAAAGGGAGAAAAGTACCTCTTTCTCTACCTGCTCTTTCCCATGAATAATCTTATAAACCTCAATCATGTCACCCCTCAGTCGTCGTTTCTCCAAGTTGCTTTCACATGGCTGTACAGAGCTTCCATTTAAAGAAGATATCCCCCCCCCCCCCGGTTGACAATTCAACCTTATTTAGGCTTCAGAACCAGAGAAACACAATTGAAAATGTGACCGCAAAGCACACTGGGACTGCCAGGTACCAGCTATTTTCAAGGCGAGTCTGATCATGCGGGACACCACCAGTGCTCCCTCTGAGTGAGTGTGAGCCAGCTCACGGTTTTTTAGCCTCCGGCTCACACATTTTTGCCTTAGCTCAGGAACGATGGCTCCAGAGCAATGCTCCCTCTAAACTGTTGAGTCCTGTGAGCAAAAATTCTGCTTTGTGAGCTACTGGCATGAAAGTTGGGAGCAAGCGATTTGGCTGCTGCATAAATCAGTTTGCTCTGGAGCCATCCCTTCCTGAGTTAAGACAAAAATGGATGAGCCAGAGGCGAAAAAACGGTGGCTCAAGTGGTTAAGACGCCGAACTGCAGGCTGTGGAAGGTCGGTAGTTCAGCAGTTCTAGACCCGAGTGTGCCGCATGACGGAGTGAGCTCCCGTCTCTAGCTCTGGCTCCTGCCAACCTAGCAGTTCGAAAGCAAGAAATTGCAAGTAGATAAATAGGTACCACTTTGGTGGGAAGGGAACAGCGTTCCGTGCGCCTTAGTCATGCCGGCCACATGACCACGGAAACGTCTTCGGACAGCGCTGGCTCTTTGGCTTTGAAATGGAGATGAGCACCGCAACCCTAAAGTCGGATTCGACTGGCTTTCGAGCAAGGGAACCTTTACCTTTTTAGCTCACACTAACTCAGCTTAGAGGGAACATTGCTCCAGACTGATTTATGCAGGAGCCAAATCGCCTGCTCACAACTTTAATGCCAGTCGCTCACAAAGTAGAATTTTTGCTCACAGGACTCCACAGCTTAGAGGGAGCACTGGACACCACCCGTTGCGGTGGCTCAGCACCTTCGCCACAGGCAACATAAGGCTATTAAGATCACAGCCACTATCCCATCAATCCAAGAAGCTTGTTTGGAGGGTACACAACACAGGGCCTTTTTGGTGGCAGCCCGACGATTACAGAACAACCTCCCACTGGAGGTGCGCCCGGTCCCACCGCTTTTGATCTTTAGGAGGCAACTGGAGATGGTTTTATTTAGGACTGCCATTTGATTAAATCAGGCCTCAATCCTGACTTTAAATGTTGGTTTTATATGTATGTTAATGTACTCTGTTTTATGTACTTTATACTTGTAATGATTCCATGTTTTGGTGTGTGTGTCTTTAAATATTGAGTTTGACTGCAGTAATGTAAGGATAGCGATAGGGGGAGATGAGTGAGCTGTGACTGGCTGATGACTGAGAGTGTGAGAGATGTTTTATGACAGAGTTCTGTGTGTGAACTTTGAAGAGACAGCATGGTCTGTGTGACTATGGAATTTTGCTTCTGGCAAACAGTTTAGTCTGAGTGACTATAAGAGCTGATTCTGTTCTGGGTGAATAAGACAAGGAGATTAGCCTGTTTGGCTATATATATAGATGAGAGAGAGAGAAAGATGAGAGAGAGTCTATGCCTGTCAGAGTGAAGTCTCAGTGGCTGTTTGTAACACCAAGTTTTGCCAGTTATATTTACAAATTCTTTTCTTTTCAGTAACAGTTCAAAATAACCAGAAACACCTATTTTGTTCTTTATTAAATAAATCCATTTTTATTTAAGCTTATCCCAGCAATCAGTTCAGTTCTTCCTCAGAGCCACATAGTCCTCTGATGTGCCCAGACCCTGGGTCATACTACCAAGAGAGAGATTTGGAATTTTTTAATTCCTGGTGGCAGGAAAAGGACACAAAGGTGGGATACAAATTCTGTACATTATGATTACTAATGATACTACTACAGATCCCCTCTTGGTACTCTAGAAGCATCAAGAGCTACAACGCCTCTTTGGAACTGGGAGTCAAGCTGTGGTTACACCCCTCTCGGCTGGAGGGAAACAGGTGTACGCAAAACACAGCTTCTCCGTCAGACAGCTAATTTAATTTTTATTTCCACCTCGCTCTGCTTCCAACCTCGTTGGGAGGAAGGCTACAGTTTTACACAGGCACTCTCACACTCCCGTTGGATTTTCTCTGACCTTGTTCCGGTTGTTGAAGGCAAGAGCCCGGACCTTGCAGTTGTCTGGATTGGTATTCTCCTTGGGGATGTCCTTCAGAGCCTTGTGTGTGATGTGAGCGTAGACCGGAACTCGGGACAAGTTGCGTCTTGCGTCGCTCTTGGCCAGGACTTCGTCCGTCACTTCCCACAGGCCCATCGAGCCGTCTCGGGAACCTACGGAGAGAACGTAACCCCGTCACGCATTAATACACACATCGTCCGTTGCCACAGTCCCCAAGCAAGACTGAACACGCCTCTGGGAAAGGAAGACCAAGGGCTCCACATTCATTATTCTAACCCAAATCTGAAAACATCAAACTGACATATACTGAATCAGACACTGGTCCATAGAGATCAATACTGCCTACTCTGGCAGCAGCTCTCCAGGGTCTCAGGCGGAGGTCTTTCACATAACCTCCTATCTGATCCTTTCATAACTGGAGAAGCGGGGGATTGAACCTAGGACCTTCTGCAGGCCAAGCAGATGCTCTACCACTGAGACACAGCCCCACTGCATGGCTCTCCAGGGTCTCAGGCCGAGGTCTTTCCCATCACCTCCTGCCTGGTCCTTTTTAACTGGAGATGCCGGGGATAGAACCTGGGACCTTCTGTATGTCGAGCAGAGGCTCTACCAGTGAGCCACAGCTCCCTGCCACGTTTTGCATTCTCTGTCAGTTAGGATAGTTTTAAATCACAGAAAGGAGGCCAAAACTTTGGAGAGAAACTTTCTAAACGTATGAAAAGTCTGCGCGCAGGTCTGAAGCTGCCTTATCCTGAATCAGGCCGTTGGTCCATCAAGGTCAGTATTGTCTACTCCAGCTGGCAGCCGGTCTCCAGGGTCTCAGGCGGAGGTCTTTCACATCACCTCCTGCCTGGTCCTTTTTAACTAGAAATGCCGGGGATTGAACCTGGGACCTTCTGCCTGCGAAGCAGAGGCTCTTCCACTGAGCCACAGCCCCTCTTTACAGCTCTCCAGGGTCTCAGGCGGAGGTCTTTCACTAGGCAACAAGTCTTAAGAAATATTAAATTCAGATAGGACGCTGATCTCAGTTAACATTCAGGCTCAAAATATGCTGCTATGTTTCTAATGGATCTTGTCTAGCACTTATGAAACAGAGAGCTTTTGCACCATTATAATATCTCCTGAAGATCAATTTTTTGAAACGTTATATAATCCGGAGACGACGTTGATTATGTACCTTGGTTCAAGGATTTTCTTATGATTTGTTTATCATGTTGTAGTGCTTCAGATTGCAATACATAGATAGCATTCTTTATAAGTCTTAATGACTGTTTGATTTGTGGGTCAGACTATCACGACGGTTGGCTTTATACTTGTTTACTGATCGGGTCGTGTTTGTCCAGATTTATTTTGTGATCTTGGGTCAGTCACAAGTTCTCTCCGAGCTGTTCTCTCAAGGGCAGTTCTCAAGAGAGCTCTCTGAGCCCCCCCTACCTCACAGGGTGTCTGTTGTGGGGAGGGGAAGGGAAAGGAGGTTGTAAGCCACTCTGAGACTCCTTCGGGTAGTGAAGGGCGGGGTATAAACCCAATCTCTTCTTCTTCTATGTTCCAGCAGATCAGGATTAGCCGATTAGGATAAAAATTGATAGCAAATTTTGCATCCCAAGGATGTCGTTTTTTCCTTCTTAAACCGTGTTTATTTATGAAAATGTTTATATCCCGCCTTTCCTCGTGGTTCAGTGCCGCTTACAACAACAGATTAAAAAATGGCTGCTATAATTGTTATTGTCACCCAATCAGTGCTGTTAATTTGAAACCTCCTGTTCTCTCACATTATTCGATCATCATTCCGGCACTTTAGGATAATTGACAAATGAACTGTTTATGGTCGTTTTAGGAGTGGGTTTTAATTGTATTTATGCATGGAATTTTATGTCAGCCACCTGGAGCCTGCCTCGGCGGGGGTATAAATCGAATAAATAAATAAATAAAAACCCATATTCAGTTAAAAACCAAAAATAAAATAAAAAGCTAAAGGTAAAGGTTTCCCTTGCTCGAAAGCTAGTCGAATCCGACTCTAGGGCTTGAAACATTTAAGCGATGTTAATGATCGCCTTTAATGTAACCAATTATCTCTTATTTTAATCCAAGCTATGTTAATGTGAGTAGTATATGACCACCACCTCCTGGAGTTTTAGTAGTTATCTTTACTTATTTTAATCTAAGCTATGTTAATGTAAGCAGTATATGACCACCACCTCTTGGGGTTTTAGTAGTTATCTTTACTTATTTTAATCTAAGCTATGTTAATGTAAGCAATATATGATCACCACCTCTTGGGGTTTTAGTAGTTATCTTTACTTTCTCCCATAGTTTATAGTGCTCCCTTCCCTATTTTTCTTGTAATTTTTGGAAAATAATTTTTTTTAAAAAAAAGAATCCGACTCTAGGGATGCGGTGCTCTCCGTTTCCAAGCCAAAGAGCCAGCGCTGTCTGAAGACGTTTCCATGGTCATGTGGCCGGCGTGACTAGGCGCCGAGGCGCACAAAATCTGCCCCCCCTCCCCCGTCTTTATGGTTCAAAGAAGCGCCACAGGATGCCCAAGGTAGTTCCCGATGAATCTCAAAAGCAACAAGGAAACTTCTAGACGTGATCTGCTCCGTATGTTCTCTGCTGCCTCCTGCCCCCTTGGCCAAAATCCCCTCTCCCTAAACCCCACACTGCAACCTCACAGCCCCACCTTCACTCCATGGCTGTCCCTTTTTTCATTTCCCACTAAACATCTCAGAACTGAATGACGACATTCTGAAGATCGAGATCCTGGATGCTACCTTATGGCACATAATGCCCTAAGAAAATTACGGCACAATTTGGCTTCCTTAAGCAAATGTTGTGCGGGGTGCTTACTGGCCCTGCCCTGGGCGGCCTGGGCTAGCCTGATCGGATTTCGGAAACTAAGAAGGGTCAGCCCTGGTAAGTATTTAAATGGGAAATCCCTCAAGGAACCCCAGGGTCGCTACGCAGAGGCAGGCAGTGGCAAACCACCTCTGCTCGTCTCTTCCCTTGACCTGGATGGCCCAGGCTAGCCTGACCTTCTCAGATCTCGGAAGCTAAGCAGGGTGGGCCCTGCTTAGTACTTGGATGAGAGGCCACCAAGGAACCCCAGGGTCGCTACGCAGAGGCACGCAACGGTGAACCACCTCCGCTCGTCTCTTCCCTCGAGACCCCAACGGGGGTCGACGTACGTCGGCTGCGACTTGATGGTAGTTCACCGCGGTGCCACTGCAGAAGACGAGAATGCTGTGCGAGGCGAGTGGTAACGGCGGCCAGATCAGAGCTTTCGCAGGGGGATTTTCTCCTGCTCTCGCGCTGCTCAGAACATGATTTATCCCAAGTCTGGTCTGCACTGACTGCTCCCATGGGCACTATTGCTTCCGACACCTATTCCAATCTGGGAACCTGCTCAAGAGATTACAGATGTGGTCTACACTGATATTGCAGAGTCAGCTGGAAGGCAGCGGGTCCTTATAGCAAGAGCCGCTTCTTAGAGAATCCTTGGCAGCCACGGCCCCTGTGGGAGGAACAGGGCTCTTGCTCCTGTGCACCCAAACCCTGCCAGAATCACAACACAGGGCGTGGCGTGTGTTATTCTTTCCTTTCCATCCAATAAAAGCCCTATGATACATTGATACATCAGTCTTGAGCAAATGTAAAACTGCAAAGCTACAAACTATACGCTCGATGGTAGGTAAAGGTAAGGGTAAAGGTTCCCTTGCTCGAAAGCCAGTCGAGTCAGACTCTAGGGCTGCGGTGCTCATCTCCGTTTCAAAGCCGAAGGGCCAGCGCTGTCCGAAGACGTTTCCGTGGTCATGTGGCCGGCGTGACTAAACACAAAGGCGCACGGAACGCTGTTACCTTCCCACCGAAGTGGTACCTATTTATTTACTTGCAATTTCTTGCTTTCGAACTGCTAGGTTGGCAGGAGCTGGAACTAGAGACGGGAGCTCACTCCGTCATGCGGCACCTGGGTCTCGAATTGCTGAACTACTGACCTTCCACAGCCTGCAGTTCAGTGTCTTAACCACTTGAGCCACCGCAGCTCCTACGCTCGATGGTACATGACACCATTAAGGCTAGGCCCATATAAACTCAGCTATGGACCCACACTATTGGAAGGGTTGTGGTTCAGTAGGAACACTGTTGGTGGGATTGTCCTTTCACAGTGTCTTTTTGGTCGAAAATCCTTGAAATGACAAACAGAATTCTTGGTTGTAAGATCCCAAACTCACCTGAAGCAATCTTGTTGAACTTTTGGCCGGACCTCTTTCATTCCAAACAGAAGGCTGAATTAGCAGCACTATTTCTGTTAGCGGCAAAAACTTTGATTGCCCAATCATGGAAATCGAAAAACACCCCTTCTATTCAGCAATGGTTCCTAAAACTTTGGGACATAGCCACAATGTACAAACTAGCTATTCAAATCCGAAAATCTGAATTACCCTCTTTGAGAGATAATTTTGTGGAAAAGTGGTTTTCCTTTTTTAAAAAAACATCTCAACCTCAGGGAATAAAAATTGTACTTTACCCAAAAAAAATACGTTGATGTTATATATTAAACTTATAAAGGTAATTATTATTATAGTAAATTTGTAAAGATGTAAAAGAGAAAGTTCATGTTATAACAAAATGTTGTATTGTTAAACTTTTTATATAGTTATATTTTTATTTTGGTTTTGTAGTAATGTTGTTAAATTTAAAAACTTAATAAAAAAATTAAGTTAAAAAAACAACCAGTCTTGAGCAGTGGAAAGAAGAAGGAGAGCAACAACAGCAATTGGGTTTATACCCCCACCCTTCACTCGGAGTCTCAGAGCAGCTCACAATCTCCTTTCCCTCCCCCTCCCCACAACAGACACCCTGTGAGGTGGGGGGGCTGAGAGAGCTCTTTCAAGAACTGCCCTTGAGAGAACAACTCCACGAGAACTTGTAGCTGACCCAAGGTCACCCAGCTGGCCACATGTGGAAGAGTTGGGAATCAACAGAGTTCCAGAACCTTTTTTTTATTCCCCCCCCCCTTTAATTCTTTTTTTAAATAAGTTTAAACGTTTATTAGTTTTCAGGATATAGATGGAGAATTTCATTTCCCTCTTGAAAGTTCCGGCACCTCATTTTCCAAAAAAAAAAAGCCCTGCTTCCGCGCCTCTTGCGGCGGCCATTTTGTGGTTGCACCCCCCACCACCCTGTGTCAGGACTCCAAAGGTGCCCACCGGCTCAAAAAAGGTCAGGGATCCATCGTTTTATGTATAGAATGTAGACATACATAGAGGCTGGCCTTTAAAACAAGCTGCCGTTTCCCTCAGGGAGCAAAGCCATAAAGCAGAAATGTCAACGTTACCAGAAACAGCCATGGTGTCACTGATCCACGCAATAGAAAATATCCAATCTTTGTGTCCATCCTAGGGAGAAAGAAGAGAATGAAAATGAGGACCCGGGACGATAAGGCGCCAAACGTCTGTTTGCGTAAGCACCGAATGCCGATAACTCTTCCTTAGGCAAGCATGCGGATTCTTCCCCAACAGGCATTCAAAGGTATCCGATGAGTGCCAGCGCTCATGTTCTTACACTGGTGGTGGAAAGCCCCGTCAAGTCACAACCGACTTATGGAGAACCCATAGGGTTTTCAAGGCAAATCCAAGTACCAACTAGTCAGCAGTGCGATGCGGTAGCTAAGAAGGCAAACGCGATTTTGGGTTGTATCAACAGAGGTACAGCGTCCAGATCACGCAAAGTGATGGTTAGACCTCACCTAGAGTATTGTGTTCAGTTTTGGGCACCACCATTTAAGGAGGATACAGACAAGCTGGAAGGTGTCCAGAGGAGGGCAACGAAGACGATGAAGGGTCTGGAGACCAAGTCCTAGGAGGAAAGGTTGGAGGAGCTGGGGAGGTTTAGTCTGGAGAGGAGATGACTGAGAGGGCTGTCATACAGAGGATGGGGCGGAGTTGTTTTCTGTTGCCCCAGAAGGTTGGACCAGAACCAACGGGTTGAAATTAAATCAGAAGAGTATTCGGCTAAAAACGGTCAGGGCTATTTTGGGGCAGGAACGCACAGGAACGGAGTTCCGGCTGGCTCCTGAGTTGGCCACGCCCAGCAGGAACTCATTAGCATAATAGGCCACACCTAACAGCAGACACTCATTAGGATTGGCTACATTAGGGGTGTGTGGCCTAACATGCAAAGACGTTCCTGCTACAAAAAAAAGCCCAGGGTTTTGACAACAAAGTAAACAGAATAAGAAGCAAAAGGTGGGTGTGGTTGGATGACCACACTTCTGGTAACATGTGGGGTGTGGCCTAATATGCTAATGAGCTGTGCTGTCGGGGGTGTGGCCTAATGTGCTAATGGGCTTCTGCTGTTGGGTGTGGCCTACTATGCTAATGAGTTCCTGCTGGGCTTTTTCTACAAAAAAAGCCCTGAAAACGGTCATTGCCTCGCTCTGGAAAACGACAATGGCACCCACACTTTCACAATGGCATAAAAAGTTGTGGGATTTGTATACCATGGCTAAACTCTCGGATAATCTTACGTGACTTGATAAATCAGTGTCTCCTACCATGTTTGTACCAACTTGGTTTCCTATCATAGAGTACCTCTCTAAGCCGAACAACATACCTAAAGTGATGGATATATTATGGTTGTGGTAAAATGAATTAACAATTATTGAATAATCAACACATATGTAAGCACTGTACGGTAATTTAAAGTCCTATCCACCCGGTGATGATATTGCAACTTTTGAGTGAAATCCAAGTATTGTTTATGTATACTGTTAAAGTGCAAAGAACGATGTAATGGTTTATCTTCTGATGTTAGTATCATATGTAATATGCTTTATCTTCATGACATTCAAGTTAATGTTATTATGGAAAAAATAAATAAAAACTATTGTTAAAAAAATGAAGAAGAGTATTCGGCTAAACTTTAGGAAGAACTTCCTGACAGTTAGAGCGGTT